TTCCTTTGATAGCACTAGTATCAGTTTATGGATAGGTCTTTCGTAGAACCTTCGCTGTCCATCTTGCGAAGTCTGGATTTCAACTTTGCGCACTATGCCGTCTTTACTGGGAAGGGTCTCCGTTACCCTGGCAAGAGGCCACTTGTTTTTTGGGCATTCGTCTTTGAGGAGGACAATGTCACCCACCTGATTGTTGCGCTTGGGRACAGTCCATTTTCGTCTACWGTTGAGGTGGTTGAGATACTCTTTCTACCATCGTGTCCAGAACTGATCCGCAATATACTGGACACGACGCCAYCGCTTTCTGCAATACACATCGGGACTCTCGAACTTTCCAGGAGGAGGTAGTACTACAGCTGACTTTCCGGTCAGGAGGTGGTTTGGAGTAAGGGGCTCTTCAGCTTTTGGGTCAGATAGGTCTGTTACTGTGAGGGGGCAGCTGTTGATGATGTTCTCCGCTTCTGTCATCAGCGTTCTGAAAGATTCGTCATCTAGCTGGTTACCCAGCTGGTTGAGTAGTGATGATAACACTGAGCGGGTTGATCGTATCATGCGTTCCCACACACCACCAATATGAGAGGCGTGGGGAACGTTGAATTTGAACTCAATGAGCTCACAGTCATTCTTCAATAAGAATTCTTTTACTATGCCTTTTTCAACTTCAGATTCAGCAGCGATGAACTCGTTTTTGGCTCCAACAAAATTCGTGCCTTGGTCACAGCGTAGTACCCGTACTTTTTCTCTGCGACTGAGGAAACGTCTAAGTACATTAATGAATGAGTCACTGTCCATGGAGTTCAGCGTTTCCAGATGAGCAGAACGTGAAGATAAGGATGTAAATATTATGCCGTATCTTTTGACAGTCTTGCGACCTTCTTTGATGTAGAACGGTCCGAAAACATCCATACCCGAATAAGTAAACGGTGCAGGTGTAACACGCTCTTCTGGTAGATCTGCCATCTTCTGTTTTTGCAACTTGCCTCTTTCTTTGCGACACGTAACGCATTTGCTGATGTGGGATGTAACAGCAGATCTTCCGTTGGTGATCCAGAACCATGACTGATGTAGGGCATTGAGAGTCGTACTTCTACCTTGATGGTGGATGACTTAACTGCGATAGTGATTGATGATGAGAGTCGTCACATGACTTCTTTGCGGAAGGATTAGAGGGTGCTTCACTGCAAATGGTTCATCAGTCGTGGTGATCCGTCCTCCAACTCTGAGAAGACCATCTTGATCAATGAACGGGTCGAGGCGAAACAATGTGCTCTTTGCTTTCAACTTAGTATTTCGGGCTCTTGCGGCATTACGATCTTTAAAACGGTCTGCATTTCCTTGAAGCTGTTTAAGGATTGTTATTTCTTCTTTAAAATGTTCTTCTTGTAGATTTCTGATTATAAGCTGTTCTGCGGTTTGCAGGTCCTTGACTGATGTATCTGTGGGTAGACAGTTGACTTGGTTCTGCGAAATGTCGACTGATGGACTTTTCTTTTTCTTAATCTGTTGATACCTCTTCGTATCGTGGAGATCCATGACTTTGCTTTGTGCCAGTTTGAGAAACGTCCAATGTATTGGAGAACAGCTGGATGTTGATCTTTGGCCTTTGCAGTGATGAGAGTAGCACTGGCTTGCACTTCCTGATGATGGACCTTTACTTCGATGTAGTTATCAGCTACATTGAATCTGGAACCGGATTGGTTGATCAGAGGAACCTCTGCTTCCCAAAGGAACGATGGGCCTTTGAGCCATCTAGGGTTGTCGAGAAGTTCTTGCGCTGACATCGATCTTGATGCTTCGTCTGCAAGATTTTGGCTGCCTTGGATGTGATGCCACTGTTCAGGATCGGTGTGGTCTCTAATGTACTGGACTCTGTTACCAACGTAGACGTGAAACCGCCGTGCATTGTTATTGATACATGTATAGCCAACAACAATCTCAGAGTCTGTGTAGTACGCGCACTTAAGGTCTTCGTAGCTTAACTCGCTTTTAAGCATGTTTGTCACGTTGAAAGAGACGACTACAGCTGTTAGTTCCATTCTAGGTATTGAGATGAGAGGAGCGACACGTGACTTTGCCATCAGGAAACTGACATGTACTTCATCATGGGCGTTTACAAAACGAAGGTAAGACACTTGTCCTAGCCCGTTTTCGCAAGCGTAGGCAAAGCTGCGTATTTCCGCCTTTACTGGAGTACCAAAACCAGCAGGTTTCAGACAACGATTGATCTTGGCCTTTTCTAAGAGGTGTAGTTCAGAACGCCACTTCTCCCATCGCATGGCAATGTCGTCCGGTACGTGGTTATCCCAGTCGATACCTTGGCGGCAGAGGCTTTGGAGGATTTGCTCGCTGACTAGGATTACTGTAGCGACGATTCCGAGAGGATCATACACCGAGCTTGTAGTCGATAGAATACCCCTACGGGTAAGTGGCTTGTCTTTGAGTTCAATTCTGAAGCCTAATGTATCGTTTTCTATGCACCAGAAGGTACCTAGAGAACGTTGAATTGGTAAAGTGTCATATCTGAGATCCAGGTCCTTGAGGTCTTTAGCTCTGTCGTCAATATGAATTGCTTCTAATACTGCCTTGCTGTTATTAGTGAACTTGTGTAGACGTAATTTCTTTGCATCGCACATTGCTTTGACTTTCTTGATCAGGCTGATAGCATCTTCGACTGTTGGAACAGATTTCAGGCCATCATCCACGTAGAAGTCTTGTAGTAAGAATTCTGTGGCTTCATCCCCGAACTCTTGTCTTCCGGCTCTTGCTGTTTCTTGAAGACAGTAGTTGGCTACTCCTGGAGAGGACACTACGCCAAACAGGTGGACCTTCATCCTGTATTCGACAATGTGACCGTCTAGGTCATTTCCTTCGAACCAATGGAAACGTAGGAAATCTCTGTTGTCAGGATCAACGAAGAAGATGTGAAACATCTGTTCAGCATCACAGGTAAAGGCAATATTTTCTTTGCGGAACCTTAGAAGTACCCCCAATAGGGCATTCATCAAGTCAGGACCTTGTAGAAGATGTTTGTTTAACGACTCGTCGTCGAAGACTGCGCTGCAATCAAACACTACTCGGATTTGATTTGGCTTCTTTCTGTGGTACACGTCAAAATGCGGGAAATACCAAGCTTTTCCTGTCTGAGTTGTTATTTCGTTGGCCGGAACGCGGCTTGCGTGGTTCTTGTCTATGAGTTTTTGCATGAACTCACTGTATACTGGTTTGGTTTGGTTATTTCTTTCGAGCTTTCTCTTCAGAGACAGTAGTCTGCGTGGACATTGTTGTCGGTTATTCGGTAGCGATACGTCATCGGTCTTGAATGGTAAAGGTGCTTCCCTGTTTCCGCTGTTGTTTAGATGAATAATGCTTTCCATGATCTCGCGGAAGCGCTTGTCGTCTAAGGATTCTACCTTTTCAGTACCGTGAATTCGACGACTGTAGTGCAATTCGTTGTAGTCTAGCTCCATCATCTATTGAAGCTGTTGGGGGCTCGTCGTGTCCTTAGTTTTGTTAATGCTGGTCTTTAGCTTTACTTCGTCATGTGCGGTGAGTCGTTGCACTGATGAAGCGTACGTTTGGTTTCTGTTGAGGGCAGGTGATGGACATACCTTACCTATGATGGTCCAGCCGAATTTGTATTCCTCGGCCGATGGTTCTTCTTCTCCTACGTAGATAACATTCAGTTGTTGGAATGCCGTAGGAACGTTGCGGCCAATGAGCATACCGATCTTTACATCCAGGTAGTTTGTGATCTTGTCAGCAATTGGCTTAAGGTGATTCCATTCCTTAGCAACGATAGGTGTGGCAATGTCACGATGGTTTGCAGGTATATCTTCTCTTGTATAGGCGTAAGGAATCTTGATGGGTGCATGGTTGTGATTTTCGTCTTGTATCTCAAGGCCGAACAGTTTCTGAGTGCGTATAGTGTTTGTTCCTACGATAGTGTTCACTTGCACATTTACTTCTTCTCCATTGACATTTAGCTCATCGAGTAGGTCTTCATCAAAGACGTCAGTAGATTGGTCATCGAGTACTGCGTAAGTCAATATCTTGTGACTAGGTGTCGATTGATGTGCTACTTCTACTTCATATTAGCAATAGTAGGGAATTTAGATATTCCAGTGCACACTCCAATAATATGGGAAGATTTTATTTTTATTCTTGAACTGCCTATATTCTTTCGGTCGTAACCCAACTCTCAAGATTAAGATGATAGAGACACTAAGGACCTATTTTGATGAATTGGACTAATGTGATATTTGGAGGGTAAGAAATCCATCTGCAAAACAGTATACGTGGAGCGGGGTAGCACAAGGAAAATCGACTGATAAGGATATGGATGAGAGAATTCGTAGGCGTCTAGACTATTTTTTCATATCAGACTGTCTTCAACCTAGTGTAGATAAATTGGAAATTATCCCAGCGCCTTCTACGGATCACTCGGCTTTATTGTTAAAGCTTTCATCTTTTGAAGAAGGACCGCGCGGGCCTTTGTTCTGGAAATTCAACAATTCTCTTTTAAAAGATGAAAATTAAGTTACAGAAATGAATACTCTAATTGATGAAACTAAGGAAAACTTTCAGAAAGACGAGGCGTTATTCAATTCGCAAAAAGAGAATAGGAGTTTATTAAATGAAATATGAGATAAGGAAATTTTCAATAAAGCTAGTATTCTAAAGTTCGAGCTAAAGAAAGAAGGTCAAAATACAACGAATTGGAGAAGGAGATACAACAAATTGAAACTAAGACAAATTGGGAAACGGACAAAGATAAGGTCGAACAACATAATATTTTAAAACGTAAGCTAGATGAATATAGTAATTATATAACAGAAGGCGTTATACTACGATCGAAATGTAAATGGTATGAAGAAGGAGAAAAAAATAATAAGTATTTCCTTACCCTGGAGAGAAGGAATAAAGCTTTTTAGCATATAAGAAAACTGTTAAATGGAGAACAGGAGATAACGGACCCACTACAAATGCGAAACATGATAAGGAATTTCTATAGCGATTTGTACTCTACAAAAAGTGATAAAACAGAGCAGGAATCACACACGCGTGTAAATGGCGTCAACGTGTTTGATTGACGGCAGTCTATTGCAAAGTGCACGTCGCAATTTTTGTCTGGGGTAGCCGCGTAGCAATGAAAATGGCGGTAAATTCTGGAGGAATTGAGTGTATTCGGGAAAATTTTGATATAAAATGTATTCCCCCTGAAATTCCTGCATTTTATCAAAATGATTTAAAAGTTTGGCCAGAACTTGGTACTACAAATATTGTCAACCCAGAAGAGGTCTTAAGGCAATCTTTATATATGGAACAATGTTTTCATTCCTTTAAATTGTGTTAGTTTTAAGTAGACAACATTTTTTAAATGTCAATATACGTTTTGTCAGAGACGTATGGGATAAAGGGGAAAAAGGTTTTCATTGGGAAGTAGTAAAAAACAAAGGGTTAGAAAATACAGAATGGTTAACTTGGGTTAAAATAATCACTCTTATTCCTTCACAGTGGAAACAAATAATGAAAAATAGCATGCTTGAACAGCCTTCGACTATTGCAGCATCAGAGTGCCCAATTATGAAAATAGAGGAAAAATATAAGATATTGAACTTAATTAAAACTAAACAAGTTTATAATAAGCTGATAGGTAAGGTTTTTTCTCCGCCAACCTCACAGAAACGGTGGCGGTTAATTCTAGAAAATAACTCTACTGACTGGAGAAAAGCCTATGCTTTGTTGCACAAAACTACCATTTCAACCTATTTAAGGTGTTTCCAACATAAAATGATAATGAATTGTTTATATTTAAACAAAGACTTAGCAAAATTTAAAATAAGAGAAAATCCTGCTTGTTCTCTATGTAATGAAAAAGCTGAAACAATAGAGCTTCTCTTTGTCAATTGTATAGTTTCATCAACATTATAAAAAAATTAATATAGAATAGCGGTGAAAAATAATAAATTATCATTCCATCTGGCCAAACATTGTAAAACTAAATTTCTTGGTAAAGAAAGGTAAAGTCGAATGTGACGATCAATGGCCACAAATATGTTCCCATTGAATTGCAGTTGCTGAGAGAATAGGACAGCTCGAAATGTTTATTAAATGGAGAAAAAGCCTTAAGCGTGAGACGAACTTGACAACAATGTTGCTTACAGGAGCACCAAAGAATTCAGGAAGCAAGACTGCAGCAAAGCGTTGGGGAAGTGTCACGTGCACTAACTGAAGTTGTCACCAAGCGGCACACCTAATGGTCATCCACATCAGGTGTACCACCGCAATACCAATACAGCCAACATGGCAACCACTACAAATAACATGGCAACACCAACAACAGCATGGTCAGCAGCAGCCATGGCAACAACAACAACATAATCAACAACCATGGCAACAACATGTTTAGCAGAAACCATGGCAACAACAAAATAAGCAGCAGCCATGGCAACAGCTACAACCTTGGCAATCGCTACAACCTTGGCAGCAACAACAACAACATGGGGAACAACAAGTAGGCCAACCATAACATCAACAAGGAAACAAATATAAACCAAAGCCCGCCCTGGGGTCATTTGAGGTTTGCTTGCTTCAGAACTGTGATGCAAGGGTGCAAAAATGTTACGGCTGTAGTCAAGCGCTGAAAATCGAAGGACAATTCCCTCCTGCACCACACAACTTGGTGGTAGCATCAAACATGAGAAGAGAGTTCCGTAAGTAGGCGAGCTACAGCAAAGTAAGCCCGGAAATGTCTATTTTCTTTTAAACAAAAGTTGCATCCAAAAAAAGTGTTCATTATTTATACCGAGCTTGGTATGTGTTCCACCCATGGTATTGTCTTCGTAAAGTCTATCACATAAAAGCGTTATTTATGACATATTGAGAATTCAGTTACAGTAAAATGTACACGACATACCAAGTAGAATAGCACAAAAACTAGATCCTTTGTTTTTGATTTTTTAATCTATTTACTATTTACTATTTAGCAATATATAACTAGTGCTACTTCATTGGTATAATTATCANCCCCCCCCCCCCCTAAAGCCGAGCTACGAAGGCTGCGATATCGCATGTGTGTAGAGTTGTTTGTTGGTTCTCTCCTGTGCTTCGAGGGTTTTTCCCCTGTTCTCCGGTTGTTGTGATTGTCCCACGCTGTGATGTAGCAGACAAAGCTTGATAGATTTTTTTACTTAGCAAAAAAGCTGAGTCTAGAAAGAAACTACCTCTTCCCCCATTTTGTTAATGCGTTTGTACTATGGCGAAGTCCACCCGGAATCCGAACAAGTCTGAAATATCCTAAGTCCAAAGTCTGAAATATCCTAAGCCCAAAGTCTGAAATATCCTAAGTCCGAAGTCTGAAATATCCTAAAGTCTGAAGTCTGAAACGTCCCTCCAGGGCTTCCGTAAAATTGTCCTGTAACGAAATAAACTATTAAAAAAAAAACTTTAACAATTAATTCCAACAATGTGGTTAATAATAATGGTTATGTATAAAACAAGACCCTGGGCTCAGGGTGCGCTGAGATACCTGGTAACGATGGGCCTGGTTATGAAATATAGGCATGACATTGAAATATGTGATGTGATTGCTGGAAAGGTTGCACATCTAGAGAAGTAATGTTAGACATTTACACTTTTGGGGTCTCTGTGTTGTGATTTAATTTATTGATGTTTTTGATGAAATAAATAAGTGGGCGTTTTGAATTGAGTCGATCAGCAATGTACAGTAAAACTATACAGAATTTATTTGTGAACACTTTCTCAGAAAGAAAAAAAAATCAAAACAGACCTTACTCATCGAAGTCATCGAACAACTCAATCTGAAACTCCAGTTCCAGTTCCGGTCCAGATTTTGGCATACGTAATAATTCGGTTTCATGAACTTGCTCATTCGCACGAAAATTGTATAGCTCGCTTTAAAATCAAAATGCTTAGTAAAACGTAAATACAGGCAATTATTTGCTCAAGACCTCTCTCATAATTGATTCAAATTTTATAATTTATCGATATTTTTAAATGAATCGCCATTTTTTGCAGAAACATTGAAGGAGATCATACGCTTCGAACGGCAAAGATCAAACCCTGGAATAAAAGTCTTAAAATAAATATTGCTATGCTCCTCGTGTTCCTTTGTGAGTAGACTTTGAAGCCAAAACAATTAATATAAATACATAAAAATGGGTTATAAGACTATATCGTCAAGTTCAAGAGAATAACGATTCATACTGAATAAAATATTTAATTTGTTTACTACAATATCGCTTATCGTATAATTCTGATTATTGAAACCCTGTTCTCTCATCGATCTTCGCTTGTTCGTGCGGAAATTAGTGTTCGAGTAGATGAATCATGAATAGATAAACCAAAACAAGGTTTTGCCCATGAAGTTCATTAATTCTTGGGAATATTGGAAAAAATTGTCCATACATTTGGAATATTTGCTCTTTTCGGTCTTTTTCCTCTCTTTCCAAAGCAAAAGGTCGTTCTTAAAGGTAAAGTTATATAGCACAAGTAAACTACGTGACAAAACATCCTAAATCACCCGTAAATCTTCTGTTCTTTCGCTAACTAGTAGTTAGCGTGTTTTCGAGGCTACGAAACCTAAGAAACCATAAGGGCGAATGTATAGGCCAACAGATAGTATGAGCTTACAAAATCAGCAAAAATACAATTCTAAATTTTAACAAATTCCTATGAATTATATACCAAAATGTTCATGAAAGCCCGGGGTTTTCAAATCCACTTCTGTTTTATTGACAGGTCTTGTTTTATACCAAAGAGAGACGATTTTCTAGCTTGACCCCGGTTATGTCATTCATTTTCTCTTGTAAAATACGCGGTCCAATAGCGTACATTCAACTCAAAAATTACGGTGTTTTTTTTCAATAGAATTCAATCTAAACCATATAATAAGGTCCGTGAATAGTTGAATTAACTGAATCCACTTCTGTTTTTTGCCTAGATGGTCATTATTTTGCGAAAAGATTCGCAAAAACACGGTTTTGTATGGGCTTACATGAGGGGGCGTGAGCTTGAAATCGTAGCTGACCAAATGTTAACAGATTTTTATGGAACAGTGAACTTTTGAACAAACAGTTTTTAACTCAAAAAAGAATCGAAAACATTGTCAAACGAGCAAAAAAAATTAGTAAAATTAGTCAGTATCTCATTCTTCAGATACGTAACAAATTTTGGAGGTAAAAACACATAAAAAGAGCTAAATTCTAACGTATAGAAAAGAAGAATTAGTTCATCACTTACCGAGTTATTTTATGGCAACCACGAGCGGGAACGAAAGATCGATCATCCGGGAGTTTTCGTTTATAAACTTGTGCGAGGCATGATGGTAAAAAAAAAAACACCGATGCATCGTGGGGCAAAATCGAAAATATAGCTTCCTGTCCGGATTGGAGTCGCTGCCTTGCTCAGCTCGCTCCAGGCTCGCTACGCTGCGGCAGCAATAAGCTAATCAAACAGGGCCTGGTCCTACTGATCTTTACAATCGTCGTTATCGTCATTATCATCATTATCATGATCATCATTATCATGACCATCATTGTCATGATCATGATCATGATCATTATCATGATCATTATCATCAATATCAGACGTTTTAATCATCATTTTCATCATCGTTATCGTGATCCTTACTATCCGTTTGTTCTCTGCGTTCGTTCGTTCGTTCGTTCGTTTGCTTGGTTGTTTATTTACATATTTTATGGACCTTAGAAACCGAAAGAGAGGCTCATCAAGCAACAAACCAGAGAAATGATGAATTGCAAAGGACCTTAGAAACCGAAAGACAGGCTCATCAAACAACAAACCAGAGAAAAGATGAATTGCAAAGGACCTTAGAAATCGAAAGACAAGCGCATCGAGCAACAAGCCTGATAAACGATGAATTGCAAAGGTCCTTAGAAACCAGAAGACAAGCGCATCGAGCAGCAAAGAAGAGAAATCATGAATTGCAAAGGACCTTAGAAATCGAAAG